TGCTGTTGTTGGTGCTGCGGATGCTGCTGCCGGTGTTGTTGCTGTTGCTCCTGCTGCTCCTGCTGTTGTTGTTGCTGCTGCTGCTGCTGCTGCTGCGCGGGGGATGGCCGGGTGTGGGGCTGCGCGTGCTCGGCAGCTGTGCTGCTGCGGGCTGCGGAGGAGGGGGTCGAAGCACTTATCAAGTGCTGCTGCTGCTGCTGCTGCTGCTGCTTGTGGGGGGTGTTCAGCTGAGCAGCAGCTGCTGCAGCACGCGAAGCAAATGGTCCTCGAGATTTTTTCGCACTGCGTGGCGGTCCACAGGTGATTATTGCGTTAGCTGCTGCTGCTGCTGCAGTCACTTGCTGCTGCGTTGGCGCCGCAGCCATCAGCAGTCCTTCACCCCTTCTGCTGCTGCAGCTGCTGCTTCTGCTGCCGCTGCAGCATGTGTCACCATCGCGATGTTCCCTTCTCCCCACTCACTTTCTTGCATTTTTTCCGCTGCACAACTGCTGCTGCTGCTGCTGCTGCTGCTGCTGCGCAGGCACCGGTTCAAGCTGCGGATCCTGCGGGACAGCGTGCCGCTGCGGAGTTTGCTGACAGCTTTAACTCCTTCTTTCGACAAGTTTTTGTCTCTTTTTGCTGTCAAGTTCCTCAAGGCCTGCATTGCCCTCAGAGTCAGCAGCAGCAAACTTTCTTTTTGTTTGTTGCTGCTGTCACTGCTGCATGTCTTTTGCCTCTTTTATTTGTTTCTTTTTTATTCCTTTTTTTTGTTTATTTTTTGTCTTTTCTGGAAGTGGTTTGTCTCCTTTATCTGCTGTCTCAGCAGCACCAAGTGCTGCCTGCTTGTGCTTCTGTTTGCTTCTCTGTCGCTGCAGCAGCGGCAGCAGCAGCAGCAGCTGCTGCTGCTGCTCGCACTGTGCTGCAGTCTGCGCGCCTCAGTTTAATATTCTTCTTTTTTTTCGTTTTTATTTCATTTTTTCTTTTCTCGTTTTATTTTTTCGTTTATTATATCTTATTGTTGAATATTTGTTTTCATTTCTTTTTTTATTCCAATTGTTTTCAATTTCTTTCCAAATTGTCTTTTTGTTGAATATTTGTTTTTGTTTTTTTTACTCCAATTGTTTTCAATTGTTTGTCTTTTCCTTTTTTGTCTTCAGGATCCTTACGTGGACAAGCATTTGGTGAAGACGAAGGTTCTGCGGCCCCTGATATGGATGCTGAAGGTGCATTTCTTTTGCGTCTTTGAATTTTTTTTTGTGAAACTTCTCTCGCATTTGGTTCTTTTTTCCCAGTTGTTTCTTTCTTTTATTTTTTTCTTTTATGTTTTTAAATTGCCCTTTTTTTGCGCTAAAAATCCTTCATCTTGGTCCATTATAGCTGCAGAAATGCGCTTCGCGCTGCTGCTGCTGCTGCCGCTGCTGCATGTGCTGTTGGGGTGTACGTACACCGCGCGCAGCACCGCGGTCCCGTTTTGCTGCATGCAGCGCATGCAAGAAAGCCCCATCGCATGCAAAAGAGCCCCAAAGCAGCACTTTAAACTTTGCAGACTTTATGAACTTTGTGGCGCAGTGCGTGCGGCGCGTGCGGTGTACGTACACTGCAGAGCGCGAGCGTCGCGGCGCGCACTGCTGCTGCTGCTGCAGCGCTGCTACTGCTGCTGCTGCTGCTTGGCGAGCGTGTGTGGGGGTCAAACTGCTTCATTTTTTTTCGTTTTTTCTTTTTTCAGGAAGACTTCTTGTCCCCTTCCTCTTCTTCTCGTCGACTTGGAGGCTCTTTGCTTTCTTGCGCCGTTTTGGACTGTCTTTCTTTCTTATGTCCTTCGGGGCTGCCGCTGTCCGTGGGGCCCCTGCCTGTACACCTGGGAGGCCAGGGCTGCGCTCTTGTTGCTGCACTCTTCGAAGACCCTCTAACTGCTGCTTGGATTCAGCAAATCGAAGCTGCTGCTGCCAAACAAAGAAAGAACCCCTGCCTCGTCTTCCGCGTCAGCTGCTGCTCCTGCTGCTGTAGCCGCTGCTGCTGATGCAGCCGCTGCTGTTGCTGCTGCGGCCGTCGCTGCCGCTGCTGCTGCAGTCGCTGCTGCTGTCGCGGCGGCGGCGGCAGCTGCTGCAGGGGGTGGTGCTACTGTTGCGCGTCCTGGTGCTGTGCTGCTGCTGCTTCTGCTGCTGCTTCTGCTGCTGCTTCTGCTGCTGCTGCTGCTGCTGCTGCTGCTGAACTGAGAAGCTTGCTGCTTGTGAGGCGCGCAGGATCTGAGGGTTTTCTACTGCGGCTCAAGAATGTCAAGGAGACAGGAAACAGCTGGCAGCAGCAGCAGCAGCAGCAGCAGCAGCGACCTGCCGCAAGGGGAGCCGGAGCAGCAGCAGGCCTTCAGCAGCCTCGGCAGACTCATCAGGGCTGACCCCCATGTAAACCCTCAGCTACCACTAGCTAGTTTTAGGGTTTAGGGTTTAGAGTTTCGGGTTTAGGGTTTGAAGTTTAGGGTTTAGGGTTTAGGGTTTAGGGTTTGTGCTTCCTTTCAGAGACAAAATGTAGACGATGATGACTCGTGGTTTTACAACGTGAAAGATGACGACTCTCCCACAGAGTCCTCGACGACTACCCGCGGGTAAACCCTAAACCCTAAACCCTAAACCCTAAACCCTAAACCCTAACGGCGTCTTAAACCGTAAACTCTGAAGGAACTGTAAAGTACAGGCGCCGAGTGGACTGGAAGGTGACGGGCTTCAACTCATAGCGTGCTGCCACAAAAGGTTTAGGGTTTAGGGTTTAGGGTTTGGCTTCCAGGCCGAGGCTATCTCTCGTCGATGGCTACGATGATGATGATGAACAGCAGCAGCAGCAGGGGAACGCCTCTGGCACGGACTTGTGGGCGGGGAACAGCGGCAGCAGCAGCGCAGCAGCAGCAGCAGCAAACCGGCTCAAGATAAGGCGGCGGCGACGTCGCCCGCTGCGGGGGGACGGAGACAGCAGCAGCAGCAGCAACAGCAGCAGCAGCAGCAGCAGCAGCGACGAGGAAAAGCGGCCGCTCCCGAAGCCGACTTCCCTCATCGGCGGCAGCAGCAGCAACAGCAACAACGGCAGCAGCAGCAGCAGCAACAGCAGCGTGGACCTAGATGGTAGCCCCACAGAGGAATCCTTACTTAGTGTCTTCCCAGAGAAGATTGCTGCTGCAACAGGCCCGGGGGGAGGGGCCTCATTGAGTCCTCGTTCTGCAGCAGGAGCAGCAAAAAAGAAACGGATTGCTGTCAAGATAGGGTGCGCTGCTGCTGCTGCTGCTGCTGCACTTTATATTAGCTGCCACAGCAGTGCAGCAGCCAAAAGTGGCTTTAGACAGGCCTGTACGGCCTCTGTGGCTGCCGCTGCTGCTGGTGCCCCTGCTATTCCCGTTGTTGCTGCTGCTGTTCCTGTTGCTGCTGCTGCTGTCGCTGCTGCTGCTGCTGTGGGGAGGATATGCCCGGTTTGCTTTTCGCGCTGTGTCTCTTTTCTGCAGCAGCAGGCCCGCGTCTAGCGACGACGACAGAGGCAACAGCCCCAGCAGCAGCCCCAGCAGCAGCAACAGCAGCAGCAACAGCACTACGAGCAGCCCCACATTCTCTCCGGAAGCCGGTAGAGGTTGCGATGCAGCAGCAGCGGCAGCAGCCGCGACAGCAGCAGCAACAGCAGCTTCCAGCAGCAAAAGCGAAGAACAGAGAGACAAGGGCCCTGCTGAAGCAGCAGAAGGCGAGGGGGAAGCTCTTTCTGAAGGTGCGCTGTAGCTGCTGCAACTGCTGCTGTTGCTGCTGCTGCTGCTGCTGTTATTCGAGTCTTTGGGCAGTCGTGTTTCTCTGCAGCTGCATATAAGTTTGCCATTTTTGCATGCATTTAAGAGTCTATTTATTAAAGTGATGCTGCTGCATGCATGCCGCGGCCTTTGCAGGCGTACAGCTGCTGCAGCGAGTGCTGCAGCAAGCTGGCCTTGGCGGGGGAACTGCTGCTGCTGCTGCTGCTGCAGCAGCGGGAGAAGCAGCAGCAGCAGACTCGCAAACTGCTGCCACTAAAAACGGCAACGCTCGTCAGCTGGACTTCCTTAAAGATCTGCTGGAGGAAGATGACAGCGACGAGGAGGCTGCTGCTGCACCTGCTGCTGCTGCGCCTGCTGCTGCTGCTGCAGAGGCAGCGCCTGCCGAGCCTAAGCGGAGACGCATTAATTAGTGGGCAGGAGCGTGGATCAGCAACAGCAGCAGCAGCAGCAGCAGCAGCAGCAGCAGCAGCAGCAGGAGCTGCGGGAACCAACATCAACCCTACTGGCAGCTGCTGCTGCTGCTGCTTCTGCTGTTTGCGTAGCAGAAGCGAAGTCGCTTCCCAGCAGCAGCAGCAGCAAGCAGGAGGCCGTATTGCTGCAGCCACAGCTGCGGCATTGTTTGACTCAGCAACAAACTTGGGGGTGACCAGTGGTCACGTCGCTCACCTAACTGTATAGGCCATCAGAAGCAGAAAAAGGCAGCAGGAAAAGGAAGCAGCAAAAGAGGCAGCAGCAGACTGCAGCGCAGCGCAGAAGCACGTCGCCAGCAGCAGAAGCCTCAGAAGCGGCAGCAGCTGAACAGCAGCTGCAGCGCGGCTTGCTGCGGCTCTTCAGGTGTACATACACCGCAGTTCTTGCAGCCCCGAGTGTACATTCACCTTGCCCATTAGCAGCAAACCTATCCTACAGAATGTGGGGGCCCCCTGCAGCTTTGGGGGGCCCCCAGAGGACCCTAGACTAATTTAGGGTACCCTATGGGGCCCCCCGGGGGCCCCCAGCTCTAGATTTGCCCCGGGGGCCCCCAGAATGGGGGTTTTCACTGACACCTCCCCCTGGGGGCTGTGTAGGGGGCCCCCAGGCTCACCAGGATCTGGGAGGGGGGCCCCCGAGCTCTAAGGGCTGCGGGGAAGTTGTAAAGAAGAGGGTTTGCTGCAGCTGAGGCAGTTTGCTGCAGCTGGGGAGGGAGAGGGCCAGAGACGGGGCCCTGGCTGTTTTTGGGCGCAGTTCAACCGCCCTCTGAGGTGTCTAGACACCTGAAGCTTCGCTGGGGCCATCCCAGAGCTGCTCCTGGCGGCGCCGCTGCAGCCGCTGCGGGGAAACTGTCTTAATTTAGTGTCTCACGGAACTAATTTGTGTTTTAAATGCTAAAATGTTTTTAAATTAACTCCAGATGCTGCAATCCGCATGCGCACGGGCAACTGACTCGGGCTGCGAGCTGCACCCGACGGCTGTCTGTACACCGCAGGAAACTCGCTGCAGACCCAAGTGCGCGAAAGCCTTTTGTGAAATTAATTTATTTAAAACTAATTCAGGGTGAAGCAGCAGCGGCTGCTGCTGCTGGGGCGTTTCTGCAGGAACCAGCGGTCCGGCTGCTGCTCCGCAGTCGCTGTTGTTGCGGTATGTTGCACCGCAGCTCTTTTTGCAATTTAAAGCAATTATAAAAGTAAATTATCTGTAATTTATTAAAATAAACCTTTCTTTCTCCATTTAAGAGCCAGTTGAGCTGCAGCACGCGCGAACACAAGCCAGACGGCAGCACCCCGGAGCTGGTGGTCCAGTGGTCAGGGGGGCCCCGGAGGCTTGGGACGGCCTATTAAGTTGGTTTTGTCCGCGTTTAAATTCCCTTTTTCAATTTTTGTTTCTTTTTTATTATTTTATTATTTATCAACAAATTAACGGCGAAAAGTCTCAGGGGTCCCTCCAGCGCCGACTGCAGAGCCACTCTCAAAGACCCCCGGCAGCTGCAGAGCTGCGGCGCTGCGCCTTTTGCTGCAGAGCTCTTCTGCGACTTTCCTACTCCTTTGCCCCCAGCAGCAAGTCCCCGAGCCCCGGTCAGGCGCTGCAGCAGCAGCAGCAGCAGCAGGAAGCCTCGGCTGCGGCTGCGGCTCAGCGCCTAGAGTTGGGGGGCCGCAGCAGCAGCGGGAAGCCCCGAGGGAAGTGGGTGTCTGTTCTGTGTTGGTTTGCTGCTGTCGGTCGAGCTGCTGCGGGGCTGCGCAAACCCTAAACCCTAAACCCTAAACCCTTTGCTGCGGCCCCCCTTTCGTGCTGCAGCACAGCCAAATGGGGGAAGAAGGAAGGTCTCAGTCCCTCCCCTCCACCGCAGAGCCCCAGGCCTTTCGAACTGCAGCAACACCAGAGCCCCAGACAGCTTGGGGCCCCTCAGAGCTTTCCCCGGGGGCCCCTGGGGGGCCCCCCGCGGTTCTTTCCCCTGCAGGGGGCCCCCCCGCGCCCTCGGGGGGGCCCCCTGCAGCAGAGCTAGCAGCAGCAGCAGCAGCTGCTGCTGCAGCAGGGGAGGGCGCTGCGGGGGGAGTCCTCACAGAAAGGGGGCCCCCAGAAGCCACGGGTGAAGGGGGGCCCCCTGCTGCGGGTTTTGCTGCTGCTGCGGAAGCGCCGCAGGGCCACGGGCCCGCAGCTTCCCGTGGGGGCCCCCAAAGTGCGCTGCAGACGATTCTAGGCAGCAGCAGCAGCAGCAGCAGCAGC